ATTTGTTGTTGTTAATTAACAGTGTAGTTAAAACGTTCCTGTTATTCTGTCTACCTTAATCTGTGTTTTTTTTTTCAATATATGGAAGAAAAAATGTAAGATGATCTACTTTTTTCTAATGTTCTTTTTTTTTGTATTATTATATAGTAATAATTTCATAAAACATTAAATTAAATATTAGGGTTGGCTCTTATTTACTACTTAGTTGATACACTACAAATCAAAGTGTTCTCTAAAATAAATATATCTATGATGCATGTCGTTTTAAAAGCAGCGGTGAAATGTTATTTTTTACCATTTAATACTTTACAATTTTGATTTATTTAACTACTGAATGACACTTCTTGCCAAATTATGTTCTCAAAATACTAGAAGACACAACATAAATCTAAGTTCATATTGATCTTCAATTAATTTTGTTCTATATGTTGACTGTCTAATATAAATAAGATGATCACAGATGGTTTCTGTTTTTTGCAGAGTAATTTGACTTCAGCTCAACAAACATGGCCGGACCTCTGATGATTCTTCTCATTGGCTCTTTACTACAAGGTGAGTTTCTAATTGATTACATTTAAACTTTACTGAAAGTTTTAGATATTGTTGTATTTAAATCATTCCAGATTAGAGTGTTTCTAAAATTATCCATATTAAATGATTAAATAAATAATGGAATTTTTATAAAAATACTGAGCACATCCTAATTTAAATTATACATCAAATTGTAAATAATGGTTTGCTCTCACTCTATTCAGCATTTCTATTAGCAGCATATAAACAGAAGTTAGAAAAAAAAACTTTAACATTTAAACTCCTGACAATTTAATCAGTTCCATTCTTTCAGTGTGTTGTTTATTCCAACTTCATTGGTTGTTTGCACTTAAATCACCATCAATTTTCATAATTGCAAATTACTGTGAAACATGACCCATCTTTACACAGTGTTTACATGAACAGTGGAAACTTTTATGTAACATGTTGCAAAACAAAAATCTGAGACAAACCAAAAACTATTTCAGACAAGAACCTCTTGATTGTAACCTCTTGAATGAAATATGAACTGCAAAGTCTCAATGTTAAACTTATTGCTGTTTTTAAGTCATGATAACGAATAAATAAAAAATTGCAGGATTTTTTTTCATTTCAATATCTGTTTTGTTTTTCAGGCTGTAAATGTAACGTATTTCAGATTAATTTGCCAAAAATCGTGCAAGTTATGACAGGATCATGTGTGACCATCCCCTGCTCCTTTGATGTAGAGGATCAGTATGAACAGAACTTAAATAACCAATGTACAGCTATATGGCGTTCCACAACCACAGGCGATGTTGCACAACTAACTGACAGAAATCCACAAACAGGAGACTTAACAATGAAAAACTGCACCACAACCTTCAGCAATGTGAAGACTGGTCCCACCAGGAATTATTACTTCAGAATTGACTGTGGAAATCCTCTAAAATGGAGTTATTCCTCAACATATGTAAAAATTGAGGTCACAGGTAGGTTAACATTCACATGCAGAATTTTGATGGATAAATTATGTTGAGGTAGCTATGTTTAAATTTATTGTATTTTACTGACACACTGATAATGAACAGCATCTGAACTGTCCAACCAGATAATTTTCCCTCACCAACTCTGACTCCGTCCACACTGAAGATAAAGGAGGGAGAGTCAGTGAGTCTGACCTGCTCTGCTCCGGCTCCATGTCTGCCTCATCCTCCAACTCTGATTTGGACCCCAAAACTGGGGGACATTCAGGAAACACTGCAGGAGAAACTGGACAAAACTAAATTCAAGACCTCAGTTATGAACTTCACTGCTTCTCTTCTCTACAATAAACTGAACATTTCCTGCACTGCTGTGTACAAGAAACAAGATGGAGGCTCTGATGCAGCTCTTACCACAAGCTTAATTCCAGATGTTCTCTGTAAGTTTCTTTGTCTTCTTTTAATATGGAAACTCAGGGTATTTGTTTACATCTAGCTTTTAGATTTAGAGATGTCAAACGCAACATTTAAAGAAGTTTATTTAGTTTCTAAAAACTTAAGGTGGAATCTAATGCTAATTGCACTGCATGATTAATAGTTAAATGCATTTAAAATTAAATGCGGAGAAAACCAAAGCCAGGATGTTTATCTCGCAAACATGCTGTTGTTTGACCTTCATCAGAGTACAAAGAAACAACTAAAACTTATAAGTTAAGCTGCAAGAGTGTACTTCAGAAAAAAGTTAAATCCACAAATCACACAGCAATTTCAAGGACTAACCAGTCAGCTTTCCACTTGGGAGAATGTATCTTGTTGGATGACCTGAATAGGCACTGGGATAAAAATGGTAAATATTTATCAAATTGATCAGTGAATCACTTTGCAGAATCATAATTATCTTACTTCAAGAAGTTTACTGTAATGCCGTGAAACATGAACTGCATATATCAGACAAGGGAACCACAAAAAATGAAGCTCAAAAAGATATATTTTTTCAAACTAATATTTTATAAATAATAACAATAATATTAAAAAGAATCATTATAAAAGGTATGCCTGGACAATTCACAGAATTTCTTAGATTTATAGTTCTTCATTCAAACCGGAGGAAATAAACGAGGAAATAAACCTCTTTAGATAAAACTTACAGTTACCCATACAAATTGTTTGTCACCCTTCATGTTTCAGATAAACACTCTGATTTTAATATCTGATAATGATTAACTGGTTTAATAAAACATTAGGTTTGTAAAAAAATATTTTATTTAGCCCAACGTTAATAATACTGCTACAATACTGCGATTCAGAAATGTTTGCATTCAACTAAGAAAGTAATTCCTGATAATAAAAAAGGTTATGCACAATGTAAAATACAATAGAACAATGTAGAGGAAGTGTAAAAATATCTGTTTTTATAAAAAGTAGAATCTCAAAAATTATTCATACTAATCTCATAATCAGTGCAACAATCTAATTGTTTCTCGTGGTATTTTTAGTTTATCTGTATTAATTAGCACCAAGTCTTTTAGGTAGAAAAGCATACTTGGCACCAATCCACTTCAGCTACATTCACAGATTTTGTATTCAGTTTAAGTCAACAACTTAGATTAGACCTTAGTAAAATTTTAATACCAGTCAGAAGAAGTATTAAAAATAAAAAAATAAAAAATCAGATCAGTTATGTATAAATAAGTAAATTTGAAGCTAACTAAGGAGATTTGTTGTAGCTTATGTTCAAATTACCATGTTCTGGTTAAGTTAGAATCGGTTAGACATCAAAAATATAAATTCATTCTATTTAATTCCAAAGGCATTTATTAGTGCCTTTGGATATCCGATCAGTTAATTTTTAGTTCATCACTAACCACACCTGAATATTGACCAATTTGTACAAACATAAAATACCTTAAATAGAACATTTCTTGTTGAAGTACATGGGCTCAAGATCTCAAAAGGCTAAACATCAAATCCATTACTAAAGAAATTCAACAAGTGTAAAATAAAGGAATTGACACCCACTAATCTGGAAAACAAGGTTTTTTTTTTCTAAGGTTTTGAAAATCTTATGACAATCGAAGCTCTTATGCCAAAATAGAGAAAATGTGATACAATTGTGAGCCTTCCCAGAAGCGGCTAGTCGACCAAAATTAATCCAAAACAGCATCAATAACTCAGCCATGAATAATCACAAATATCAATTGCTGACTGTCTTAACCCCCCAAAATATTGATGTCATAAATACCATTGACAACATATTTGTTGTTACATGTAGTGAGAAACTAAACTAAGACAACATTTCACATATTACCTGCATTTAAACATGATAGAGTAAATAGAACTTATCTCTCTAGAAGTCATTCAATAAGAGGCAGAGCAAACTCTGAAAAGGTCATCAGTCCATCATAGGGTTACTCATTAGACATATAGAAATAAACCCAAATGCACACTTGATCCAATTAATCTAGTTAACATCCCATGCATGTCAACTAGCCTAACATGCATGTATTTGCATTGTGGAAAAAGTACAGGAGTACATGGTAAGGAATTAAGCAAGGATAACATGTACACTGCATTTGGAAAGGCATTCTTGCTGCAAGGGAACAGTGCTCACAACTGCTCCATTTTGAAGCCCAGTGAAAGGTTTGTTTTTGTTTATAGCAGCTTATTTGTTTTACCAAGTACCTACTATGAACTTCCTATATATTATGGAGTTCAAATAATTTGCTTACCTCTTCTTGGATTTCCCTAAAGATACAGAAGTTTCACTCAGTTGCTTTGACACAGTTCTGGAGAAAACTGATGTAACAATGACTTGTTGCCAACCCAACATTGTAGAATTATACCTGGTACAGAGATGTTGGAGGACAAGATTTTGACAGAGTTTGTGAAGCACGAAGACTTTTTTTTCTGCAAATAAAGCTGAAAGTGACATTGGACATTAGTCTTCCAACCTCAGACACGTAGATGTTCTGTGTATGTATAAGACTTAATTAGATCACCAATTCATATTATATTTGCATTGAACAAGAAGTTTCCGGAAGTGTTAACAAAACAGGAACAAATTGCTATTAGTGTACTTGAGTTGTCACAGCTTTTTTAAAGATATTAACAATGTATCATTTGCCTTTTTTTTTAGATTCCCCTAAGAATGTTACAGTTTCAGTCAGTCCCTCTGGTTCGGTTCTAGAGAACAGCAATGTGACTCTGACATGTAACAGTGATGCCAACCCAGCAGAGCAGAATTACACCTGGTACAGAGCTGATGGAGGACAGGAAACTGTCATTGGAACTGGAAATACTTTAAACACTACAGTATCTACAGACAGAGATATTTTTTTCTGCAAGGCTCAAAATGATGTTGGAGAACAACATTCAAACATCACTCACATTGATGTTCTGTG